AATTTTTTTTCTCTCTCTCGCTCTTCCGTGAGGTTCTGGATTTGAAAAAAGAATGCAGAGAAAAAGAAAGAGATGGCCCAACTAACCAGAAATCCAGGAAAAGGAGGGAATGAGAATCCTTCTCTTTCTAACTCATCTAATAATAACAATTTAAGATACTTTATTCATTCCAATTATCTAATATTAATTTGTTAATTATCACCGTCAACGTCCACTCACAACTCACAACTCACAACTTACAAGTCAAAACTTGGTAGTTCCAACTAATCAATCATCCTATTCGATTCATAAGTTTTTTTTTTCTTCCGTTACTCACTTTATCATTACTAATACTCATCTTTATTTTTATATAATTATTATTTAAATTCAATTGTATTATAATTTAAATTTATTTATTTTTTGTACTTTTCTCAGTCATGTAGTTATATAAGATATATTTCACATACTATTTTTATATTTACTTAAATTTATCTTAATCGTTTCAAATTGTTTTCCTTTTTATCTTTATTAATATATTTAATCTTTACGATCATCAATTTCTTTCAATCTATTTTATTTTATACCTATCTATAAATTGAATTTGAATTAAAAAATAATAATTTATCATATTTAAAAATAGTTAAAGGGACAAAGGATTTATTTTAAAGATATAATTAGTTATGATGTTCCATGTTATATTATCATCTAATCACAAATGGTTATATATATTATATAATAAGTTTATTAACTTTATAATAATTATTTAAAATTTATATAAATAATGATTTTTAATCAATTCATAATATAATTTTTATACTAATTGTGTATAATTACTAAACTCTTATTTTAAAATCAAAATCGATTTAATCAAATAAAATTTACCTCAATTTAAATCATATTAATTTTTTTTTTGAAAAACTGTATATATATTATATATATATATATATATATATTAAAATAAAATAAAATAAAAATAGGAGATTTGAAAACATTTGGTCTGCTATTTGGATTTGGGGAAGCCTGGAAATGGATTTTGTACGGCCCAACAAGGTTAACTTGTTTGGATATGGAGGCTTACTGGATCTACTCCATTCGTGAGCAATATAGGAGGCTAACATATTTTGTGATTAGCCTCATAAAAAAGAAAAAAAAAATGTGAAATTTTTTATAAGTCGTCTTTGCTTTTTAAAGGTTTTATGATATTACGATTAAAGTTTTTTTTTATAAAAAGAGAAATGCAAGCTGCATTTATTTTAATTTTTTTTTCTAATATTGTCCTTTGGTTAACAAGTTTTAATGAGTCTTATCACTAAATTAGTAATTTTTAAAATAAAATTAAATATATTTTTAGTTAAGTTTTTTTTTTATCAATTTTTGTTTTTAGTTTTTGAAATTTTTTTCCATGAACTAAGTTCTTATGCAAGAGACCAGAATGTTAAAAGGAGAAAAAGTTCAAAATCTAAAAGTAAAAATTTGTAAAAGTTCAACGACTAATATGTGGAAAAAAAAATTCAATGACTTAAAAACAAAAATTGACAAAAGTCTAGGGACTAAATATATTTAATCATTTCAAGAATTCTCATATTAAATTTAATCAATAATTAAGAGAGTGTTAATTAGAGAAAGTATCGCTAACATTCATCTTTTGTTAATGTTATTGAAAATTATTTTCTGCAACAAATATTTCCTATTTTGAAAAGTATGTTTCAAAACAGATATATCATTTTGAAAAATAGTTTTCAACAATATATATTATTTCAAAAGATATTTTTTTGAAACAAATATTACTTTTGTCCCTATATATATTAGTTACATTAATTATATCTTTTTTAAAATACTCTTATTTAATGAAAAAAAAATTATTTTAAATAAAAGATAATAAATACTTGAAATTAATTGGATAAAAAATTTCTCTTATTAAAGTTAGAGAAAATAAATAGACACATAAATACTCTATCTTTACATTAATTAATTAGGTGAGAAATGATTAAGTAAAAAGAGAGAAAGTTAATTATGAAAAAATAGTTTAAATTATTAAAAATTTAATACTCTTAACTAAATTAACTAATTTTTTTTAAAGAGTATAATTTAATTGAAAAGGTCTTAAAATTAAGAATGGAGATGATATATACTACTCTAAAAAGTAAATTTCTAGAAGAGAAAATTAGAATCCTCAAAATGAACAATGACTCATTAACTAACTCAGCCTACCCCAGGTTAATTTGAGTTGGGTTAGGCAAATTTTTTTTGACTCGTTTCAATTATGAGAAAATTTTAGTCTTGTCCACTTACAACACAATTTACCACAAACTAACATGTGGTGAGTTATGTTAACTTATAAATTAACCCACTTAATTTACTTTTTATTTATTGCTCCTCAAATATTAATTATACGATTATACATTTATATTATTAATTAAATTTTATGCATGCTAGTTATAAATTACTATTTTTAATGTCAATTTGATATTCTTTTAATACTTTATATAATTACTGATATTTTAAGTTAATTAAGTTAGTTGTGATTAATTTTTTTTACAAATTTTTATCTTATTGTTAATATAAATATAATTCTAAAATATACGATTACAATTTTTTTTTTATAAAATTCAATTAATTTACTTTATAATTTAAGTGAAGCAATTCATTTAATTCACGTAGTGAATTGAGTGTGGCAAGTGATCCACTTTAACTGCCATGGAGAAAATGCAATATATATGTCAACAATGCCGCAAAAGACTAATTAGTACACTTTTAAGACCAACTCAATATCATAAGTTTATGTTATGTATTTATAAATATCATATTCATCTGATAATGATCATTCTTTTTTAAGACTAAAAATGTATAATTATTTATTTTGTTATAATAATGTAGGAGCAAAACTTAGCCTAAGGAGGGAGAAGACAAGACTAAAGTAAATGTAAAACAGCCTCCTCACTCTAGTCTATAATCCTATCCCAAGTATGGAAGCCACATATCATATCATAATTTAAACACCGCAAAGTGTATTCATCATTAAAGTCTGCCTCTAATCTAAGAGTCCCATACCTACAGACAACCCATGTTTACCGGTAAATTACATTCAACTTACACGTTTAAATAATGTTTTGAGTTCGAATCTTATAAATAAAAAATTATGATAAAAAAAATTCATTAAAAATAACTGACCAAATTGTTCAACAGAAATTGGTCATCAGTATGTACCCATAACATAATTATAAATAAATACACAGCCAATTTTCCTGAACCAAGACAGTAATTAGATCAATATCAACATGCACGTACTAATGCCTGAAAGCGTGACAGGTGCAATAATATGTGTCATCTACCATACCCCTTTAGAAAAAAGTTTATTGTACTTGCCCAAAAAAATTGAAAATGGGTATTAGAGAAAAAAAATATACTTTTGTTTTCTCTGCTACCACAAATATTTCTCATTCTAGCAAATTAGGATGGTCCATGGTCCAAGCTCTAGATGTGGCAGATGATAAGGATTTGCGTCTGATGAGTAACATTGAAGGAAGTCCCATCCCAAGTCTTGATAAATAGTATTCAGTGCTCAGGTGATTCGTACTCATTAAAGTTTTTACAACTTGACAAACCTGCCAAATTGAAACACAGAGGGAAATGCAGAGCTCATAACTCTCAAATTGCTAAAGACATATAAAAGACAGTGTAGTAGTCAGGGAAACCCTAGGGAAAATTTTCAGAGGAAAACACAAACAAAATCGCCATGTTCTTTGGGGGTCACAGAGTCACAGATTCAACATTAACATGTGACATCACAAAGGACAAACTAGGGAGTAGATATCAAATAATTTGAGGGTGAGGTTGCAAATTGCAATGCAATCCAAGACCCCCCTTTCTGACAAGCTACAAGTCCCATTTCAAACTATATATTATTAGAGTTAATGTGGAGTCAGAAGCTTTTGGCCTTCATCTATGTTTTGCACCTCAAAAGTCACACCTGCTTTTATTTTACAAGGAAATCAGTCAAATAAAGCAGACCAACAAAAAAGAAATGTAGCATAATAATAACATAAAAGGGACCAAAGCAACAGAGACAAAAAATGACTGGCATTCATAACCATTGGAATCCTATTTTGTTGCTACCACATTTTCTCACTTATGAAGAGTAGTTAATGATGCTCCACTCACTTTGACACTATATTCACAATCCAACTTTGTGCAGTCTCATTTCCCCATTCCTCTCTTATTTCTTGCAATAAATCACATGCCAAAATATCTCACCCTTTTCAACTAGGCCAATCAAGAGTTCATATGGGGAGTGAAATGCAACCCTTTGTTGAGACACCACCAAAAGTGGTGGAGCCAAACCGGTATTCACATAGATCAATTGAGACACTGGTGGTGGTGATAGCAGTGATCACAATAGTTGGTGTCATTGCAGGGATGGTTGCTAGATTGTGCGGTGGAAGGCACGTTGGGGGCAATGGGGAGCATGACATAGAAGGTTGGGTTGAAAAGAAGTGTAGAAGTTGCATAGATGGAGGGCTTCCACCTGAAGAACCAAAGCCAGATGCAAGTAAATGAATCAAAGAGTCTCAGATCAGATGCATTCTATTCTAACACAAACATTGTAAGTCAGTAATAGGAGTTGGTAAATGCTTTGTTTTGGCTAGCCAAGTGATACAAATGTTGGGGAAAGATTACATAGCTTTAACTCGTGTATAGAGTAGCATTGTGTTAGTTTAGAACCTAAACCATTGAGGTTAGATTTTCCCGGTTGTTGCTGTTGTTGGACTTTCTGTTTCAGTTTTATTTTCTTGGTCATTCATTGCTTCTTTGAACATCATTGTCCTGGTGAGAGTGCATATTTCAGTTTCTTCAGACAAAACAAGTTACAACATTTGTATAGATGTATGATGCTCAAGCTACTTGGAGATTCACAGAAAAAAAGGGGAAAAATAAAGTAGCATAAATGTTCATTTTTTAATAAACCAAATTTATTATGAAAAATTATCTATGTGAAATTCCCCCCACCCACCCCAATATTTTCTTTGAAAACTACGTTGACCTAGTAATGGAAATTTTTGTTTGATATACATAAGATTTTAAATTCAAATTTTGTTTTTATTATTATAATCTTTGGTGTCAATAAAAATAAAATATTTTCTTGAAGACATTAATGTTTGAAGTATCGTCAGAAACTAAATGTAACATTTATCCTATCGAAAATCTGAACAAACTTTGATTTTATATATTATTGGGGATTAGACTCTAATACTAGACCGAACTCCATTTTGATAGTTCTTTCAAAGTATTTTTTTTTCCTTATATTGTAGCTTATCTTTGATGAAAAAGCATGGTTAGAAAATGAGAACTACTATCCTCACTCATTAAAAATTCAATTCTCCAACATTATATGAGATTCATTCTTCAAATAGGATCCAATTGTTTGTCAGTTAATTAGTGGAGCCAGTTATGATGACAAGGCTTATTTTTTGTCCTAAAAATCTTCAGGTGATATTACTTTGGCCCGCTAGGTTTTACTTTTGGTATAGAATAAAGATGCCACAAGCATCATGGCACGAAGTCGCAATTTAATAGTACAAAGCAAAAGCTCTCCATGCCGTTACCTGATGCTGTTCAAAAGCCAAACAAAGTTTCCAACCTTTCTTTCATTCCCCTATTGGAATCTTACCGTTGCTACTACTACTTAATTTCACCCACTTTAAAAGAAAATGTAATTTGATACACTATTTTAAAAGGTGATGGTCTAATAACACTTAACTTGATTCTCTTAAGTAAAATTTTGTTTCAAATTTTGTATATACAAAAGAAAATGTGATTGAGATAATTTTACTAAAAATAGCTAATTAAGTTATTTGAGAAAAATTAGTTATAAGCAAAGACAATCAATATTTCGTGCGAATAATTTGATAATAAAAAATACAAGAATATTTTTTTAATCGTTAGAGTCAACTTATATAGGTATTAGATTCGAAAATGTAGTCAATACATATAAAAGAAAAATAAAATGAGAGTTTTGAGATATTTATTCTAGGAACTAAACTTTTCTATTAGCGGGGCAAAGTAATATTCAGTGGAATATAAAAGACTTTTATTTTACAAACAAATCATTAAAATTAAATTAAGAAATGCTGAAAAATATTGCTACAAAACCACCCCTTGAATGGGATTTCTTTCTAGTGCACGCAATTATTCCACACTTCATACCTTACACAATCACAAATATACAAAACAGATCGTAAAATACGAATATTGAATTACAGCCTCAAGCGATAGTATGCATTTGGGCCAAACTGTTTCTTTATTTCAACATTAAATATTTTAATGTTCTAATAAGTGGTTTTCGCTTTTTATAATTGAATAATTATGGATTATAGGTCGATTCGGCTGCATCTTAGTTTGAATCAGATTTAGGATGAAAAAACAGTAAAAAAAAAAATGACATTTATCCACGGATTAAAAGTCGCCAATTTATCCTTGAAATTGTCATAAGTACACTCTTATTTTAGACAATTCTTTTGATACAAGTTCAATTTAGAGGATATTAATATCCTCTCTAACTAAAATCATTTAAATGATATCATATATAATTTTTATTAAATTTATTATTTTATAAGCAAGTTTCAGTTTTAGCAAATTAGTCATTCATTAATTTATTATATTTTGAAGAATAGTCTAATATTACTTATATATTTCTAATCTTTCGATTCCATTCTCTCCGACAAAAACATTTCTTTTTCTTGTTCTCTCTAATTTCAATGATTTTCAGTAGATGATTTCAACTCAAATTCAGATTTCATTCTTCATTTATTTTTGTTCTTCGATTCCCTCCCCCAAAATAAAATAAAATCATCGTCTCCCATGCAGGACTATGAGATTTTATTTTTCCATAAATCAATCAGTAGCATACAACAACATAGACATTCCCAAAAGGAACCAACAAATTAAAAACTAGAAACCTAATCCAGGGAATGAATTGATTTGATTACCTTTTCCACACACACACGAATTAGGTTAGGAATTCATAAAAGAAATGAACAAACGAAAAAAGAAAGGTAAGAAAAATACACATAACCATAAGTGTAGCTTGGAGGAGGTGGTTGGCCATGAGAACCTGATTGATGGGATTAACAACAACACCTTCTTCGATCTCACGCTTTTGAATCTTGAACATGTTGTAGATACTCAAAAATAACACTAGAAGCAGGGTCCCGCAACGGACTTCAACCGATCCAACCCCATTCTGATGAGCCTCCTCAACGGGGTCTTGAACATAAGCAACGCTATCATATTGCCGCCTCCGAAAATATATATCAACGTGAACGAAAGCTAAATCATCTTCACAATTCACAACAAAATGAAAAACGAATTAAATTCATATATGAGTTGAAACCCTCTACTGAAAATTATTGAAATTAGAGAGAATAAAAGAAAAAAATGCTTTTGCAAAAGAGAATGGAATCGAAAAGTCAAAGACATGTAAGTAACGTGAAGTTATTCTTTAAAATATAATAAATTAATGAAAGATTTATTTGTAAAAATTGAAATTTTCTTATAAAATAATAAGTTTGATAAAAATTACACATGTTATTTAAATGGTCCTAATGAGAAGGAATATTGATACCCTCTAAATAAAACTTATACTAAAGAAATTGTTCTTATTTTATCTTTGAATTTAACAAAATTAAAAAAATGATTTGTAAGATTGTAATCTGTCACTCAATGTATAACGCCAACTTGTCACCAACACTAAAACATCAATTGCTTGTAGTGGGAGAATACATACATATATAGTAGTACATAATTTTGAAAGTAGCAAGATTAATAATAAATAGTTGAATTTTATTGCTTATATATAAACAAGTGACAACTAACAGCATATCTGGTTATCACAATGATATAAAGAATCTCATTATTTGCTACAAATCAATTAATTGATGTCCTATTGGTCGGGTATATATACATATATAAATACATATCAATGTAGTACATAATTATATATTTTTGTATTGTATATGCTTCACATATACCATAAGTAGTCTTTCCATATGGAAGTGAACATGGTAGATGCTTTTCCGTTTTCCGAGTTGCAACGAGGGCGAACGTGTCCTAAGTAAGACAATTCAACATTGTTGCAGAAAGCCTCAGCATCTTCTCCTCCTTCACATTCAAGGTCTATGTTCTGCAATGTTATCTCCTGGCATGGAAACTTGTCGCTGCAATCAAACTTCACAGCTACATCAGAAGCACTTGTGCCTTTTATGTTCTGGTACACCACATTCTTTATTTGAACATCGGATTTCTGCAAGAGCTACACCAAAATTAAATAATAATCAGTTGTCATATATATGTTGCTTCTAATAATAGCAAAGGTTGTTTAAATATATTGTATACCTACCCGCTTATTGCAGGGCTTCTTTTTCTTGTCACAGTAATTCTGATTTATTATTATGGGGTTGGTCACGTTGTCCATTTCAATGTTCTGAAACTGGATGTTGCTAGCACTTCCTGAACCTCCCTATATATGATGGTGGTGGACCCAAAAGATTTATAGAGTTGTTAGGAATCGATGGATTCTGCAAATCTTTTTTGATCACACATATACAAGAGGGTAGGTAAGACTAATTAAATTATAAAGTTAAAAATTCAAATCACCTGCCATGTCTTGATTCTAACTCCATTTTTAGTTCCAAAAATCTTGGCTCCATTCACTAGTATTCCTGAAACAATTTCCTTGGATTTTCCCGCGCCTAAGCTTCCAATACTGAAATAACTCATCATTGCAAATGAAATTCACGTACAATTAATATTACAAAATATAACAAGAAAAAAAAAAAGAGATTATATATATGATGTGAAAAAAAGACAAACTGAAATATATCAATTAGGTGTATGTATATATATACTGTGAATGTGTATGTATCATTAATAGCATTAACAGTGTTTTAAGAGGTACTTTTCACCTGAAGCTAATTACCTGATACCATGTCCGGGTCCGCAAGTTATGTTTATGGCTTCTACATTTCTAGATCCATGTACTATAGATATACAATCATCACCTGAAACAAATACATTGATATACCTAAAAATAATTCCTCTCTGTAAATTTTACATGAAAATTTTATATTTCTAAATATATGTATAAGAAATGATAGATATAAATTTTTTACATTCGAAATCATGTAAAAGTTTAGCGTGAAATGACCTATTCTGCTTAAATATTTATGAGATTGTAATATTTTACTATTTTTTTTTTTGCAAAAAATGGTAAATATTTGTTGTTTATTTTGAAAAATAAAAAGTTTTCTATTTTATTTCTAATTATAAAATGTTATCTCATTTTTAGAAATTGTATAATAAACCATGAAAATGTTTTTTTTTTGTATATATTTTACGTTTTCTTATATAAATTTTAAAAATAAAAATAAGAAAACATTTGAAATTTCAATTAAAAATGAAAAAGCATTTTCTGAATGTCAAATGGTTATAATTAAAAATACCAGTTCCTATAACAGAGTTTGAGATTTGGATGTTTTGCGTATTGGTGACATGAATCCCATCGGTGTTGGGGCTATCCTCTGGTGAGGTCACGTTAAGGCCAGAAACCTTAACATTCACGGAATCCTGGAACGAAACGTGGATTTGTTGAGCATTTTCTATCGTCAAGTTCTCAACTATTAAGTCATCGCAACCATAGAAAGTTAGAGCCTACAATAACAAAAAACCATGGTTAGAATTTAGAAATATTAATTTGAATGTTATATTATTCATATTTCAACCCAATATCCTTGATCTTTGTCACATATACCGTCGGGGCATCCTTGCAAGGCTGCAACAAAATCAGAAAAACGAGGATTGGTCATCGATGATTTGAATATGATATATTAAAATATTGGAGTTGTGAATATCTTACGCGCTTTTTGTTTCTTTTGCATGAGTTTTGCCACCATATGTTGCCGTTTCCATTGATGGTTCCCCAACCAGAAACATATAGTTTCTTAATATTCTCAAACAAAAGCCAGTGTCTACAGTCTTCGCTGTAATCTGATGGATCATCTGATGCTTCAAGGGTTCCAGAAAACTATCACAAATTGATCATGGTTGTTAACAAATTAAAGTCACTAAATCATGATTAAAGATGAAGCATAATTAATCACTAGCTTAATTTTCAGTGCAAGTAAACCTGGACTTGAATGTTAGGTTCGCAAGGACCAGAGAATCTGATTGGTTTGAGCATATAACTATTCTCCTCAGGCACCACAAGAATTGCTTCCCCAGAAGAACATACTTCTTCCCAAGCCTTCTTGAAAGCCTGAAATCAACAACCCACATAGCCAAATATAGAAAAAATAATGTCACCTGTTTTTTTTTCCAATTATGAAAAAACCAAAGAAAAAGAAAAGAAACAACGTTGTTTTGGACTAAGTGAGTATTATGCACCTCTGTGTCATCAGTGTGACCATTCCCTTTGGCTCCATAATCATTGACATTAACCATTTTAAGTGATGAGCGAGGAATATTACCCAACTTATTGTAAATATCTAAGCTCAAAATATTTGTGCTTTGCTTGATGAGGTTATTGAATGCCCCACCATCATCAATGGAAGATGAATGATCATGAACATATATACTACTTGGTGGGTCCTCATGATCTTGCAAGGTGCTATAACAAGCAATAAAAGAAATGATGATAATGGTGAATGAGAGGAGGAGGTGTTTGAGGAGGGCCATTATTTCGAGAAAATATAGATGCTAGATTGTTGTATGATGAGAATGGATATAGCTAACTAGCTTGGTGTAGAACTACAAGTACCGAAACTTGTGTGTATTTATAGACAAAGAAACAAAGAAAATATGTTGGCCTTTGTTCCTCCAACTTCATATGGCTATAACTTCCGAAAGTTGCTAACTTAATCAAAGTATAGTTTAATACTTTTATTTTCTTTTTTCTTTTAATAACATAATTCCTCCTACCGATTTAGCTAATTTTAAGAGTAAAATAATATTTTTAGATGTGTTAAGCAAAAATCTAGTTTTAATTTTCAGTTATGAAACACAATCAGAATTTTAATGTCAACATAGAATTGTGAGATAATGAGAGTCGTACGTATTAATTAAAAAAAGTTTATTTTTATATATTAAGAATTTGGGTATTGATCTAAGTTTATGTTTTGTAATATTTTCAACAAAATATGTTATAACTAACTGTATGGGAGGATATATAAAAGATTGGTGAGAGAAGAGATGATCAGTCCCGATACTTTTGACTTTTGCTCCATTCATCACACATGCTTGAAAGTTATGAAGCCATACGTTCACCAATTTGTCATTTATGTATTTTGAATTTAATTGATATACAATCGTACTGTAAAGTTTTTCTGTAATTTTTTACAATATCATGAATCGTCATGTAATTATATAATTTAATCTTAATACATTTTTAGTGTAATTTATATTTTTATGAAAGATTATTTTAAATATTACCTTTATAGCAATTATTATGAAAATAAAAAAAAAATTATCAAACAAATAACTTACTATTAGATCGTAATGTAAAAAACATTTACCGTTAGTTATTTTTCATTAAATTCAAATTAAAAATTATTAAATTTTTAATAATTTTTTTGAGAAGTCATATTTAAAATGATTTATATTTAATTAATAGTGCATGTGGAAATATTTATACTCATAATTTATCAAATTATCCTCAAATAATTATATGTACATGATTAAATATGTACATGCTTCAACTTATGCTCTAAGAAAATAATAAATATATTAAAATATATTTAATTATTTATACACGTGGAAAAATTAATGATTGTAACCAAACAATGGTATACAATTATAATTTTTAATTTAATATTTTATTATAATTCATTATATATATCAATTTATAAGACACAAATTTCTTACTAAAGCTGTGGCATACATTTTTTATTTTCTATTTCCTATAATTCTTTCAATTTATAACTTCATTTATTTATTTATTAATTATTCATTTATTTCATGTATATTTTTATTGATTTTATTTATATTTCCAGCCTTCAATTTCTCTTTTTCTATTTTACTTACATAGGAATTTTTTACAACATGAAAATATTAATAGAGGAATTCAAATAGTATTGCATGTGAAAGAATAAAGGGAAAAAAATTACGAAGAATTAAATTAATAAATAATAAATATCATATGAGTATATGTTTTATTTTTTATACATTTAAGATTCATATATATATATATACATATATAATATGTTTATTTCTTAAAAGTTGATTTACTTTTAATTTCTATTTATTTAAAAATTTTGAAAATTTGAAGAAAAAAAACTTTAAAAATGTTGAATGACTGAAAACACAAAATGTCAACACTTATTGATATATTAAACCAAAAATTTATTCAATTAAAAGACAATAGTAAATATTAATCAAATGTTTCGAATTATGTTTGGGAATGTAGCATTGGAAGATCGAGTCCCTGCAAATTTAAACCAACATTAAATTCTCGATCATCAAGATCATCACGTAGTTAATTAATTAATGGGTATCAAAATAAAAGTGCTTCCAAATACAATTATTCTCCTGCCTCTTTTCTTGTTAGCTATAATAATAATAATAATAATAATGCCAAGAGAAATCTCGTGCATATGCAGTATACTATTTACAACACCCAGAAATTTCTAAATATTAAATAATAAAGACATTAATTAGACATTTCTTTTATATACAATGTTGACTATAAAAATTTTAAATTTCATAAGTGTTTGAACAACTAGGAACGATTAGTTCGAATAATATATACAATCATAAAACTGTACTTGATTATCTTGCGAATAAAAAGAAATCATTAGTGCTCTTATATATTCTTTTTAAATTGCGTTCCAGATAAAAGTAAAAAAAAAAAAAAAAAAACACCAATAATTGTAAAGTCAAGTTATTGGAAATAACTTTTTGATGATATTTAAAAATTAAAATTTTATCCTGAAATATTAGTTTTCCGATTTCCATCACAATTTGATTTATTCAATGTTAAAATATTTTTTTAAAAGTTTTATAGTTTCATTTTCTTTAACTTTTAATCTTATAATTTAAAATAGATTTTTTAGCTTTTATATTTATTTTTTTCAATCGTCCATAAAATTAAAGATGAATATTTTGTCTTTATATTTATTATTTTTTAATTTTTTAATCTTTGTCGTTAAATTTTTTTTTGTAATGTTGTCTTTTTCGCATTGATATGATAAAAATATTAATTTTTTTGTGTGTTTGATGCTGAATGTATTTTGTTGGAGTTATTTGAAATTAGATTATCAATCTTTTATCTCTTTTATCCTCACTTGTGATATCTATTGTTGAAAAAAATTCATATTTTACTTTCATAAAATTAAAAATTACTATTATATCAATATAAAATAAATAACATTATTAAAAAAATTAACAATAACACTAAAATAACTAAAAAATACAAATATAAAAATTAAAAAAATATTTTAAACAATAAAAACTAAAATAGATTGAAAAAAATAAATATAAAAATTATAAGATCTATTTTAAACTATAAAAATTAAAAAATAAAATAAGTAAAATTATGAAAACTAAAAAAATATTTTAACCTTTATTCAAAAACAATAGTTTTCACTTCTTCCCTTCCATTAGCTCCTTTTCATTCATTTTAACAAAAATTAAATTTTAATATATATGTCGGTTTACCCCCACACTCCATATATTATTTGGGATAATTTCTAAGGATTATGAAAACCTAGTAATTCATCACAAGAGAGACTTGCCCATATTGATAAATAAATACATGCATATCCCACACCCCAGACATTGCGTATTAAAAAAAATTAAAACACAATGAGTACTCGTATTGAAATATTTAAATATTCCAGCGTTTTTTTCTACTAGTAATCATTTTGGGTTTTAAACAGTTAGCAGGGTTGCGTGACAATATTGAATCTTCTATAAATTATTCTACGAGAGGTTAAGTAGAAAGACATTTTACACCATTAGCATCCCATACAAGTACTCCATCGTGACACTAGAGTTAGTATTTCATTCATTGTATTTGTTTGGAAATTCGCCACTCTTTTTAATTTCAGATAACAGATAGAACAATTAATATATAACTCAGATTTTTCTTTATTATCAAACGGTCTTATCATATAATCATATAACTCAAAGAATTGACATAATAGTAGGGATGTTATCATATAATCATATAACTCAAAGAATAATTGACATAACTAGTAGGAATGTTGGACTTGCATGTTGTTGGCCCATTTTATTTAATAAAAAGAATTGTGTTTAATCTTTATTATGTGAAAAACTCTTTTAGTCATTTTTGTTATTATTAAAATAATAATTAATCAATAAAAATTATCTACAAGATCATCAATCATTAGTTTTTTTTTTTATGAATACTATATAGACTATATTCATTAAAAAAAAAATTGAGCGGATTATATTTAATAAAATACTACAAGTAGGATTAATTTCAGACTCAACAAACCCTTGGAAAAAAATAAAGTTTTATCATATGTGGGCAGTTGGTGTGTCAAGTAGCATATGCTATTATTGTGGACTTATGCAATGCAAGAGAAGCATTTGTCACTACGAGGATGGGTTCACTCTTTATTAGCCACACACCTGATCAAGCGTGTGATTTAGGGTTTCCTTCTTGCCATTGCATATTTGTTATTAGCATTATCACAAAATAGCTTTAGCTATCGTGAAATGCTTGAGAAGATGGGTGTTGGGATGGCTTTGGAGTAGAAGACATTTCATTTTGGAAACTTAGCATTAACTTTTTTCTGGCTAAAAGTTTCCTAAACTTTTGCCAATGCATTCATGCCATGATGAAATGTTTGACCTCAAACCGGCTCTTGAAACTCTTGTATCCTACGGAGAAAATTATGAAAAAAAAATGGTTAATTTTCATTATTGCACAACCGTCTTAACAACTATACATGTGATTGATAGGGGCTTAATTAGTAAGAGTAATTGAACAAGCAATCTATCTATCAGGAAGGATTGATATGGGGGATCGGGAAAATGGAATGGTAAATTTTTAAATAATTTATTATAATTAATATGACTTTTAAAGTATAAAGTTGACAACCTTCAATTATATATATATTGATAATTTCAAAAATATTAATAATTATACTTTAAAAAAAAAAGCTTAAACCGAAATTTCTATGAATTTATTTGGCGTCATGCATCCAATCCCATGGTTGTGGTTATGGAGAGATGCATGAAATGGTAATCATGCTTTTTGTTAGAAATTGAACCTCAAAGGCTCAAAGTATGGAGCAGTAGATATAGGTGAGATCAGTTGGTATACACAACTACCTTACCATATATTTTTGGCAACTTAACTAGGATAAGAAAGTTGAAGTTGATCGTTCACAAAGTTTGATTAGATATCTTTTCAATTAGGTACTTGTTCAATATTGTAGCGTATTCTTTTCGGACATTTAATTCTAAATTACATTATTTATTATTATTGTATACTCAAAGACACTATATAGTTTGCCTAATTCTACAAGAAATCATGCATATCATGAAAAAATTTATAGGTTACATCATCTTTTGATTAACAAGTGATTTTGAGTTCAAATCTCAAATTTGCAGTTATGTTATTATTCATAGGAAGAATTTTATTGTTTATAATAATTCTATCTAACTTAAATAGTATTATTTTCGATAGAAGATATGTCTATACAAAAAAGAAATCCTTTGAATAATTAATTGCAACTTGATAGGTGGTAGTTGCTTGTATAATTGTGTGGTAAGTATGTTCTAAAGTAAAAATAAAACTATAACCGTTGTTGGGTTCACTGCAGATTTTTTCTTGCATTTTGCTTTAATGAAGCTCGTGAGAAACATTAGGCAGGTTTTTAATTTTTATGCATACAAATTATGGATGTGGGAAAAGAACGACCATTGTTTTGTAGCAACCGGTTGCTCGTCGAGTTGAAAATTTCTCGTGTAAATGTTTTTCTTATTCCAAATTATTGTGTGTCCATGTGATGTACGAGGTAAATTATTTTTTATTTTTTAAGGAAATTCTTTTGAAGAATAATAAGAAGCGACAATAGAAATGTGAATTATATATATATAAATTTTCAAAAATATTTTTCTTTAACGGCATGGAATGAATGAAGAAAAAATAATACAAATTATAATTAATTATGACCTACAAAATCTTAACTTTGTTGTAATTATTGCAACTTTAATTGATAAAAAAATATTAATGAACAATATTATTATGAAGGAACAATAATATTTATTGTATCTATAACCATAAAAATATCATGAAAATATGTGGTAATAAATATAATACAATTTGTCTATAAAAATTGTAAATGTCACACTTCCTAAAGTATGTATCAATTTCATTAACTTTATTTTATTAATTTTTTCAAAAAATTTAGAAAATGAAAAAAATGGAGAGAAAAGAAAATAGAGAAGATTCATTCTCATAAAAATAAGGTCTTAAAAATTGCTGATTAATGATCATTATAATGATTTCAACAATATCGTTGTACAAAACTTAATTAGTATAGTTTTGTAATTCTTCTTCTTCATTTGATATCTATTAAAATGGTTAAAGCATGGAAGAAACATGTAAAAGATCAATCTCCAACGCAATAAAATGCAAGACTTTTTGGATCCAGACTCTCATGATCTTTATCATGACAAACACTTAGATATGTAAGTTATAAATAAGAATAATGAAGTGTTATCTAAACTAATAATATTGTGTTAACTTTTTCAATAGATGATCTGAATAAGTAGTTGAAAGTGTAATAGAGACCTTTCATTAAAAAAGGAGAAAACAAGAATTTTGTAAACCTCATCTCAATGACAAAGATAGTGTCAACTAACTCAATATGTCTATGTTAATGATGCTATAGGTAGTGTCGAGGAGCTAAAATAAGTTTTTTTTTTTTTAAATAATAAAAAATCATAGAAACTAAAAAGACAAATTTTAAATTTGAATAATCAAAATCAAATTTATTCCAAATAAAAAAATTAAAAATATATTTAAACCTTAAAAAATATTATTTTGTATTATAATGCGTGTCCCAAATAAAGCACTTTTTATAAGTGATAAATTTTTCAATTAAATATATTTTTGTCCCTATAATATGTAACTTGTTTGGTTTTGATTCTTATAAAATTACTTTTTAAAAAATAATCCTTGCAAATTCTATTTTAAGCCTTGTAAAATAGTAATTTTTCCTTTCTTTCCCTTGTTGTAATAGAATATTTTTCTTTTAATTCCTACTTTTTTCCCCTAAAAAAGTCTAACTTAAAATAAACAAATATTACAGGGAAAAATAATGCTTATTAAAATTAATAAATGGTGTCTAATTTCCATTCGGAGCCAATTTCTTTTAAAGAAAATATAAGTAAGCGCAATTTTTGTGAAGCGTATTACATTATTCATTAAAAATAGGATTAAATTATTTTTTTTTATAAAATTGTTTTTTAACTCAAATTTTTATTAATTTTTTATCTAGTAAATTAAAAAAAATTCAATCCTTTTTTCAAACATTAATGAATATGTGCTAAAATAAAAGTTAAAATAATGTTTAATTTACGTCCTATAAGTACAAATTAATTTTTAGTTGTCAACTTTAAAATACTGTGTAGATCATGTCTATGAATAAAAAACAAAATTAATGAATCTATCAAATAAAATTTACTTATTATTAAACTTGTTACACAAAATTTACCTACTAAAGTATTTTTATTAATAAAAATATCATATTAAATTCAGTTGATATTGTACAAATTACTGAATCTATGTGATGTTACTTGTGGTAGTGAGAGCCTAAAATATACTCTTTTTTTTTTAAATTATAGGAATTAAAAAAAAATTAAATTTAAAGTATCAAAAAAAAATTATCTCAAGTTTAAGAAACTAAAAACAAATTTATACCTACTTCATATTATAATTTATAATATATATATATAAAAGATCGATTTTGGATCCTTAAAAGATCGAAGTGTCTAACTACTTAAAATAATGAAATAGCACCTATTTCCTATAAATATGACGCCACTATCTATATCCCAATTACCATATCTCACAAATGTAGAATTTTTAACGTAAATAATATTTTTTAAAATTTTTTTTACCAAAATAACACATGTGAAACTTTATTTACACAACTAGAACCATTTACTGTTCACACTCAGAATTCGGTTCCCCGAGAACTGAATTCTGAGCTTCAAAATTTTTTTTTTCTTTTTTTTTGCTCAGAATTCGGTTCCCGGGGAACCAAATTCTGAGTTATTTTTAATTTTTTTTTTTTTGGTTTAGGGCTGATTTTCCGCGAGTGTGAGAAGTGGAACGGGCCGTTCTGGAAGCAGAACGGCCCGTTCTGCTTAAACACATGGAGTGTTTTTTTTAACATTAGAACGGGCTGTTCCAATTTTAAAAAAAACACTCTATGTGTTTAAGCAGAACAGGCCGTTCTACTTCCGGAACGGGCCGTTCTGTTTTCCAGACTTGCGCAAACTAGCAGAAAACGCAAAAAAAAAAAAATTAAAAACAACTCAGAATTCGGTTCCCCGGGAACCGAATCCTGAGCACAAAAAAAGAAAAAAAAAATTTTGAAGCTCAGGAACCGTGTGAACAGTAAAGGGTTCTAATTGTGTAAATAAAGTTGTACATGTGTTATTTTGGTAAATTTTTTTTAAAAAAATATTATTTACTTAAAAAATTCCACAAATGTACGCAAGTGTACTCCGTTGCTTCAATTTTCATGTAAAACAAGCTTTGAACGTGACATTGCCGTCAAACTTTAGCTTTTAAATCACATGATTACACTTGAACGATGATGATGGCATTTTATGATTTTCTAAAGCATTTATTAAAGTTGATCTTGGTGTAAGCAACACTCATTTTGTTGACTATGTAGGTCTAATAAAGTTTCCAGCCAATGTTTCCTCTATCCCACTTGTACGTTGTAAACCAATTTTTTTGATTGTGTTATGGATCAGAGGTCTCAACTGATTTAGTGAATCTCTGAACTGCAAGTAAAACAGGCTGAGTTGTGGGTTTTTGAAATAGAAAACAGGTTTAAATCTCTGCACTACTAATCTAGAGGCACTATCATCACTGTTGTACGCTGGCTTATGATTGTTTCACATCTATTGATGCATGGTTTCATGTGTGAGATTCTTCACTGTATTAATCTTTTTCTTTTCTTCACAGAACAAAGGGCCAAGGAATCCGAGAGCCAGAGCTAGTTGATATTGGGAAACTGTTAATTGAGTTCTGTACTTCTATGTAAATAACTTTGTAGACGTTGACTTCACAGAATAAAGATATATGTAAATTGTTTTTTTAACTGGAAAGTTAATGGAAGCAAACTAATTCTTTTTTAAAATAAAGTTTAGGTGAATTGAATTTTTGGTAGTCAAGACATACCTTAAAGCTCTATGAACACTTCCAAAAATACTTAAAGATTGCTCACAAATAAGGTCCTCACATTAGTAGTAAGAATCGAATCCACAATTTTTTTTAGATATAAATTAGTTATAAGTTGGACCAACCTGTAATACTTCAATATGTAATAACCGTTTGGTGCTTGATATCGACTGCTTAGGTGGATTATAACAGTATAAGAAATGAAACTGCTATCACATTTATCATTTTATCCCCAAAATTACACGGTGAACTAATCAAAATCAGCATCAGCACTTCCATAACCCATTAAAAGTACCCAATGGAATGTTCAAATGCCGGTTTGCTATTCAAACCTTAGCCACCTGAACTCAAAATTTGGCAACGAATTCAATTCACCTCTGTAAACTTTCCGATTATTATATTCTTTTATTGATGGCTTTTATTCTGCTATTGTTGAAAACATTCAAAGTAATAACTTTCTATTTGATTACTTTTAACTTAACTTGCTAATTAGTGGGATGCTAATTCAACAAAAGTTAATTAACACCATATAACAAATGGCTACATTTTGATTGTTGAGCTTAGCCAAAGTGGTTTCGATTTTGAATTGCCTGGCAATTTATGGGCAATGAGTCTACATTATTTATCTCTGTTCAGAATACCATAATCTGATTGCAAAGAATAATAGCATATAGGTTTTGGTTGTGAGCAAAACTATTATTTTGGTAAGGCTTTTTTTAGTACTTGGGAGTACTGGACACTCACTCAATTACCGAAGGTGAAGGTAGAAAGTTGTTCCAACAAATTGCACAATAGTATGAGTTTCTTCCCCATGTTTTTGCTTCATATTGACATGGAGTTTTGCAGATGACATTGTCTTGCTTTCTGAGGTATTTTCCTTTTACAGCTAAATTCTTCTATTGTTTATTAGTGTATCCAAGGAGAAGGTACATAGAAGTCAAAATATGGAGAAGTCAGTATTTGTGGTTGGTAAGCTCTAACAATTTCTTTTTAACCTTACATCAGTAATCACTGAATCAATTATAGTGCTATTCAAATTCCTGAAACACTGCACCAACAAATTGTTCATGATAACCACCTCCACTATCACGTGTTTCAGCAAACTGCTACGTTTACTCTGTTCAAGGGACAAAATCCAAAATTTCTGCTAAATGCTGTCTCGAGTGTGTACACACACACATATATATATATATATATAATGATCTAATCACTATCTGAATATCAGTATAAATGAAATATGCAGAGTTGTGCCTATCAGTTAACAGAGAGAAGGAAAAACTGCAGTTAAAATTTCAATAAGTAAACAAATATTGCATGCACAAATCATGGAGGTTCTAAATTGAAATTCATGAAGAGTTGAAAACATATTCAGAAAACCTTCTTCGAATCACAATCTACATAATAGAAAACACTCCCTCGAACAGCATAAAGAAATAAAACAAGGGCTTCAAATCTTTTTTGTTTCATTTAAGAATTTCTCTTCGTCTTGCTTTTACTCTGATTCTTCTTTCTTTTCCTCCAGTTCTATTGGTTCTTCAATGTGAACGTGTTTGATATGAGATATTTTAGGCCAAAATTCTCCAACACGAGGCTGACATTTTCTAGATAATTCAGGACAACCTTCAATCATCAAACTTTCAAGTGCAGTGAGGTGACAGATGTTATCTGGGAGAGATAGAAACTCTGGACAACCTAATATAGCAAGTGTTTTCAAATTAGTCAGACTTGAAAGCCACTCTGGAAGCATTTTCAGATTGTAGCAACTTGAAATTACCAAAGACTGTAAGGAGTTGGCAGTTCCTTGAAGCCATTGAGGCAAGGCCACTAGCTGTGGAATATCCGCAAACGTAACAGATTTTAACTTCAACTTGGGGCTTTCTTCTTGATGATGGTCCTTCCACAGTTCCAAGTCCAAATTACCACATCCATAGGCAATCAACGTTTCTAATTCAGGAAAATTTTTTGCATCCATTGACAAAGACTTCAGACTCCCACAGTAAAAAACAGACAATGTTTTAAGAGCAGGGAATTTCACTCCTCCAAAGATAGACTCCAGATTATGGCATGCAAAAATAGATAGTGAGCTTAAGTTTGTAATCTCATTGTAAGGCAAAACAGATTGCTTTGTGGTTATGCGGAAATCCCGGAGACTGATCAATTTTTTTAATCCTTTGGGCAATGCTTCCAACTCCATGCATCCAACAAGATTCAACACTTGCAAATTTTGAAGCTTGCAAATAGAATCAGGGAGTCCCTTAATACAAGGATTATACCTAATACTGAAATATCTCAAGTGCTTCAACTTACCAATGGAACGAGGCAAAGTCTCACATGCTGAATAACTTAAATCCAAAACTCGCAAGTATTTGAACTTTGACACACAAATATTTAGTAAAGCTTCACTGTTGGCTTCTTTAGATTCACCATCTAAAAACATTATGGTTCTCACAGGTACTGATCTTGTGGTGAATAAATTGTCAACAAAACTGCTTTGAGCAAAAGATAGATGTCGAACATTGTCATGGATATTTTGAATGTGGGAATTTATAAATTGAAACTCATCCTTTGCAACAAATAGAGCAAGATCATGCACCAAATCATGTATTGTAAATGTATAAACCGTGGAAAAGTTGAAAAAATCTTGAAGAAAAGATCTTGACATTAGTTCATACAAATACTGATTGGCAACATCTTCCGGTGTCCAATTCTTTTTTGGTGAATCAAGGAATCCAAGTGCTCCCCAAAGTGCAGTTAGATCAGAACTATCAAATTCATGATCTTTTGGGTAAAGGGAAAACAACGCAAAGCATTGCCTCAAATAGGACGGCATGAGATCATAACTTAATTTAAGTGCAGGTAAAATGTCATCTTTTTCTTGTGGCATATTCCAAATTCCATTGTCTCTCACATATTCCCACTCATTTGCCTCATATTTAGAGAATAGTAAACTCCCTAATGTTCTCACAGCCAATGGAACCCCTCCACATCTTGTCACAATTTCTCTCCCAATATTTACCAAATGAGGATGTTTTTCTTCTTCTCCTTCTTTAAATGCCCATTTGACAAATAGAGACAATGAATCCTCCAGAGGAAGACCTTCTAAATTGTGAGAGGGGATGGTGCCCATCATAGAAGCAATTGTTTGACTACGTGTAGTCACTAGAATTTTACTTCCTGTAGCACCTACTTGTAATAAATTTTTCAACTCAACCCATTTAACACGATTTTCATTCCACACGTCATCTAAGATGAGTAAGAATTTTTTATCAGCAAGTTTGTTTGACAATTGAATTTGCAGTTGCTCTGGATCTAACAGATTTAAATTCTGTTGGTGAGGAGGAGCATCAACAGAAGCTAAATCATTGGCAGAATTGATGATTTTGATGACTAGGTTCTTAATATCAAACTCATCAGAAACACACACCCACATTTTCAATGGGAAACACTCATCTGCCCTCTTGTCATTGAACACAATCTTTGCAAGTGTGGTCTTTCCCAAGCCTCCCATCCCCACAATGGGGATAACAGAGAGACCTGTATCATCATCTTTAGGATTTTGCTGCATCAAAAGCTCTATGATCTTTTCTTTATCATGTTCCCTTCCTATGACATTTGAATCAACCATACGAGAGTGTGTCAATTCTCTCCTACGCACAACACGCCTATCAACATGAATTATTTGAAGACCAAACTTATGCCTATCAGCTGCAACCTTGTCAAGTCTCTTACAGATATCTTTAATTTGTCGAGCCATCCTATAACGAAAAACAAGTGGATTAGAGCTGGAGAAGAAGTGACCTACCTTGGCTTTGGTGGTACCATGAGCTTTGACCACTTGTTTTCTTAGTGTTTGACACTCAAATTCATCCAACACATCTTCGGCATCATAGAAGACACGTTTGATCTGGCTCAGCCATTCCCGCAGCTCGTTGTTCTGCTCCTGCTCTTGCTTTTGATCAGCATCTAACAGCACAGCCTTCACTAATGACAGAGTTCCTTTAAACTCTCTGAGTTGATCGTATACACCCAGCACCTGAGAAGCTTCTTCATAAGCCCGAGAAGCAAGCTTTGCTAAGAGTGACTCTGCGATGCTGAAGAGGAATGATTCCGCCATAGTTGTCACTTGTCAGAAACTCAAACACAAGAGATAGGAAACAAAAACAGTGCTTGATGCCAAGTCAACTTCTTTGCCAGATCATTTAATTAATGGCACCCTGGGTTGCGTCGTGGATTCCATAATAATTAATGTCCCATGCAACCGGTGTGTTATTAATTTATAGTAATAATATTGAAATACTGAATAAGAGAATTTTCTTCCTCTTGACAACATGGGACAATGTTTTGATATCCTATTAGAAATAAACCTTTGCTGACAATGTTTTGATATCCTATTAGAAAAGCAAGAAATGACTCATGCCGAAGGTCAACAAAATCTTCGTTTTAAGTTTCTTTCAAAAAAAATTATTTTATATTAATATTTAAATAATTTTTTTAAATTTTAAAATTCATTTTAAAAGATTTATTTTTAAAATGCATAAATATAATTATTTTTCAAGACTCATTTCTATAATATTTTTAATTTTTTGTCAAATGATATTATTAGATTTATTTTAAGCCTAATAATATTATGTTGGATCCTCTTATAAATGAGAGTAGAAATACCAAATAATTTTGTCTTGCACAGTTGCACGTTAAGGACCTCTGCTAAGGTGGTGGAATCCTTTATATAAAATTAATATGAAAGTGAGAATGAGTTTGCAAGAATTAAAATATCATGGACAGCACCATATTAAATACGAAAATGCTGTCATGTTGCATAGTTCTAATGTTCAGCCTTGGTGGGTGAGAGGATTTGTCAATATGCAGTTGTGAAATATAGTTCTAAGAAGAAAATGTTGTCACTAACTATTGAGTTTCAGTACACACCAAGAAAACCGTGACAGACTAACAGAGGCTTCAGATGCGTCATGAGAAAATGAGAATTTTGTCTTCTTTTAAAAGATGAAGGCAATTTTACAAGTGTGTTTATGATGAAGTATGGTGAGTTAAATCTAGTATGATTTGACCTAAATTTATGATGTTTAGTTACTAAAAAGCATTTTTTTAATGAAAAATCAAGGTGAAGTTGAAGTAACAGAGAATTACTTCTAATTCATGCAAAATATGGGCTAGTCCATTGGCAGAGGAGAAAACAGATTTCACTATGATATTGTAAATTTCATATTACAACCCATTGAAAGTTCCCCATTTAGAGGACTCCTTATATCTATAAGTCCCAATGATTTAAAGCCCTGCCTATTAGGCCAGTCTTTATAGCAAAGAAAAAAAAAAAACAAGGCCAAAAAAACAGGCGTACAACAATAACTGGTTGTACAGAAAGTTCAAGCCAAAAAACAACATATAGAGTATGCTTGGCAAAGTATTAGAGAAGCTTATGGACCAAAATAATTTTATTTGATATGCGAACTTATTTTAACAACTTCTTTCATAAGATACTTCAAGTAGCTTATGAAAATAAACTAGCTTATAAGATCCAAACTTCTTTTTTCTTATTATTTTGGTGGGCCTGCCACTCCATCTGATGGAAAGGCTTTTAACAATTTGCATATTCCACCAGCTCAGCTGAATCTTTTGGTTTTAGTGCTTCTCAGTCTACTCCTCCAAGAGGTCATGGGAGGGTGGAGCAGTAATAGTACAGAACTACAGATGAATTATGAGCCTGCTAAGTCTCATAATCAAGTAAGTAAAATTGATAAGTATCAACAGTGCTGACTTAGAGGAAAATTTGAACTCATACATTTATTATAACTATGCATTTATGTTGTTGTAATACAATGTTCTCATGCATATTAAGTGGAAGTAGTAGTGTCACTAGTCTGTGAAAAGTCAAGTAATCATATAATTTACTACGTTTCTGGTGAGACACTTATTGGAGGGCAGCATCCTGGTGGTATTGGAGTTCATGCTCTTGGCATGGCATTCCCTGGATAATATTTTAAGTGCTAATTATGTGGCCAACTCACTAGCTTTAAGTGCCTTTAACATGGTTGAAATCTCCTTCTCCCTGAGTGTGTGCATCTATGTATGGTCCAAACTTACAATTTTCATTATAATACTATAGATTGAAATACCCTTGCACACTGACACAACACAAGTGTCTCATTCTTTGTATACTTTTGAGGAGGGAGATTTACGATGAAATGATTTTTGTCATGCTTTTCTTGACGCCATGCTAGTTTTGATGATCCTGTAGTTTTTGCTGGTTTTGTGATTTCTGTTTTCATGATTGAATATTTACAGCTAGGAAAATAATGTGCATGAAGCCACACAGAAATCTGGTGAGACATTTATGTTCATTTTTAGTTGATATTGTTTACCCATTGCCATTGAATGTTAATAATTTGTTTTTTGGAATTGATCTGTCTGCAGAGCCTGTAAATGATGAGTTTGGGCAGCGGCAAAATAAGCCTTGTAGGCAAGTTGATTTGCAAAAACATTTTCAAGTGGCTCATTTTAATGAATTTTCTTTTGAGCATGGTTTTACCGTCCATTTTTCATATGGGTTTTGCTACCTTGTTAGATTAATTTTAAATAATTTTTTTATTTGCCTGTGCCTAATTAGTCTATAACATGTTGGAAGACCAGGTAAAGCTGTTCTTTAAAGCATTGCTTAATTGCAAATTTATAGTTGTAGATCACTTGTAACTCGTAAGCTAGACAACTTTTTCTTTGAGGAAGCATTTGTTAAGTCCTTTACTTTTGATTAAGTTGTGTCTCTCTGTATTTTCCACCCCAGTAGTGTGGATACCAATGTGGAGAAGCAAAATTATGTGAAATAAAATGATAAGAAACTTTAGTATCATTAGTGTCTCACCCAAGATTGACTTAAGTTTAATTTTTAAATCACATATTTACTCTTGAACAGTGATGATGGCATTTTCTGATTTTCCAAAGCATTTATTATCAGTTAATCTTAGTGTAAGCAACACTCATTTTATTGATTATGTAGGTTTAATAAAGTTTGCAGACAATGTTTCCTCTATCCCACTTGTACCTTGTAAACCAAATTATTTGATTATGTGTGATGGATCTGAGGCCTGAACTAATTTAGTGAACCTCTTTACTACAAGTACGTAAAACAGATCTTAGTTGTGGGTTTTTGAAATAGAAAAGATGTTTAAATCTCTGAACTACTAATCTAGAGGAACTATCATCACTGTTGTAGGTTGGATTATGATTGTTTCACATCTATAGATGCATGGTTTCATCTGTGAGATTCCTGTATTAATCTTTTTCTTTTCTTCACAGAACAAAGGGCCAAGAAATCCAAAGAGCCAGAACCAAATGATATTGGGAAAATGTTGATTGTGTCCTAAGTATTTTTTTCTCCGGAACAAGACAATTAACAACTAATTTACACTTGCGAAATGTGATTTTATCAAGAATTACCTTAACATCGACAGAAATAAATGTTATATATATATAATTCTAAATGCTGACTTCACATAATAAAGATATATGTAAATTATTTTTTAACTGTGTAGTTAATGGCAGCAAACTAATACTTCAATATGGAATAACCCTTTTGATTTTGCCACTTATGGTGACCGTAAAATATGTAATAGAATTTGGTACTTGATAATTGATATTGACTGCTTAGGTGGATTATTTTCGGATAAGAAATGAAATTGTTATTATATATATATATATATATATATATATATATATTATATATATATATATGAAGAAAGATCCACTAAGTCTATTTAAATTTATTTTACTCAATAATTATATTTTATATCAAATTTTAACAGTTTATCTATTGAATTAAAAAATTTTAATACATAGATCAAGTCTGTAAAATTTAAAAAAAATTAAAAATTATTTGATATTTCATTTCATTAATTAAAATTGACATGTAATCATAAAAATATTTTATATGTTGATTTAAATTAATGAAACGAAGTATCAAATAATTTTCAAATTTTTTAAACTTTACAAACTTGTCTATACATTAAGAACTTTTAGTTTAATGATTGAATTATTAAAATTTGATATAGAATGAGTTATTAAGTGAAATAAATTTGATATATAATCACCACCTGAATATCGATATAAATCAAAAGAAAGATAAAAAAAACAATTAAAATTATAAAAAATAAAAATAAAAAACAAATATTGCAGTGTTGCAAGCACAAATCATGGAGGTTCTGAATTGAAATTCCTTTCCTAGAAACTCATTATTTTTTAGTAACGAAAAACTAGAAGATAAAACAGATATAGCCAAACAGGCTTACATGAAAAAATAAAAATAAATAAATAAATAAAAATGATCCAAGTGCCATTCGATGTGAAATGTTATATTCATGAAGAGTTCAAAACATATTGAGAAACCATCAAGAATGACTATATAACAGAAAACAGCGCCTCGAAAACAATAAAACAAGGGCTTATTTGTTTCATCAAAGCATTCCTTTTAGTCTTGCTCTTCCTCTAACTCTTCTTCCTCTTCCACTAGTCTTCTGGTTCTTTAATGTCAACATGTTTGATATGTGATATTTTGGGCCAAAACTCTCCAACATGGCGTAGACATTTTCTGCATAATTCAAGACAACCTTCAATCATCAAACTTTCAAGTTTGGTGAGCTGATGGATGTTATTTGGGAGAGATAGGATCTTTGGACAATATGATACGCCAAGTGTTTTCAAATTAGTTAGACTTGACAACCACTCAGGAAGCATTTCTAGATTGTCGCAATTTGAAATTTCCAAGGACTGTAAGGAATTGGCAGTTTCTTGAAGCCGTTGAGGCAAGACCACCAGCTGTGGAAAATCTGAAAGTACAACAATATTAGGCACATACAATACATCTCATATATGTTTCTGATGGGATACGAACAAGTCTCACATCAATAAAATATGAAAAAATAATAATAACTTAGCATAAACATACTTTAATGATTGAGAGGTCTTTTGGATGATGACCAAAAGCAAAACCGTGAGGGCTAAGGCCCAAAGTGGACAATATTTCATCATTGTGGAGTATGTTTGTGTAATAACCCTATAAAAATAACCCTCATAAAATATCCTCTCAGACCCCATCAGTTTCAGACTTGCCAAACTTTCAATCAATAGTCCCTTTTCCCATGATTGAGATAAAATCACCATTTCAATTTTTTTACTTTGGAAACAGTTGTTTTGTCCAACTCTTTGAAGAGCTTTTGGTCATTGGTCATGTGGTTTGTGCAATCGCTGTCTATCAACCATGAATCATTGGAACTGTTGCTTTTAACA